GCCCATGAGTTTCTAGTAACAAGTAGGATATTGGATGTAAATGTCATCACTGTCCAAAATGGTTTTCCTCTGTAGCATTTACAGAACACATTAGAAGTGAAATGCAATCTTCCCCATAGGACCTACCCCATCAGGTTTATCTGTTACTAATCACGTAATTTGTTTTCTCCTGTACAACTGCTTCCAACTACTGTTTTTGAATATCCGGGCTTCAAACAATAGTATCCATGGCGCTTCTCAGCATACCGCTTTACTTTTAGGTTTGTCATAAAAAATGATGCTTTTAGTTGGCTTATATGTTTAGATAGTTATGTCTTACTCTTTCAACACGATTCTCTCCTTTCGTGTCGTTTGAGTAGATTAAGTCTTCCTGACTACTTTATCTGTCAACCAGAAGACTGGTATTATTATGCTGAGATGAAGGACATAAAATCATGCGCTCTATTTGTTCGTTAGAGGTTATTTTTCTGTTTTGTACAAACACGTACTGCCTCAGCTATTGAACTCCAGTATCTTCTGTCCGCTTATTAATCTAACTTGAAAAACAGCTAACATTTCTGAAGCTGGCTTAGCTTTGATCAGCTTTTCTCAGCTCCCTTGTTGATGAATGTTGTTAGAAAATCAACTTCAGTAAATAAATATCCCTAACTTCAGTGCCTTTAGTGTTTCCTGTTTGATGGGAGAAATCATCCTGCTAACTGTGTTGTAATGTGAAATACATCTCAAGCACAAGCTGAAGATAGTTCTGGCAGCACTTCTCAGTACTGGTTTGAACTATGCACCATGTCTACAAATTCTCCTCCCTCAAACTAATGAATATTTCTCACAGACAGTTCTTTCCTGATGTCTTATTCAGTATCAGGTAGTTATTTGACTCACGCATCTGGAACAATAGTCTTTAGAAACTGTTAAAATTGGCAGTGACAACAGATTGATCTTTGTATTGTCTCATAAGATATCAATCATTACTTCTCATTGGATTACAGGACAATCTTCTGTGATACAGAACTAGAAGATCCATTGCAAAATTCCATATGTATACAATATATAAACCTTAATATCATGGATTTTTCTTCCATTTTGGCTTCCGATCTGCACCCCATATAGATTAAATCATTTCTGTTCACAAGCACAGATAGTACTAGATTTGGTGTTGGTCATAGAAAATGATGACTGCTTAACTGTGTTGCTATAGCAAGACCACACATATGCAGTAAAGCTTATAAACAATATTCTGCAAATTCAAATGGAAACTTTTCTGCTAGCTCTTCAGTTTATAATGGACATTCAGTATCTGCATAAACAAGCTTTTATTCATAATTAAAGTCAGTCCCATCCTGCATCAAGAATTGCCAGAATTGTCATCTCTGGTAGAGTGTGTGAAAATCAGTGATGCATGCTGTGATTGTGTGATATGTGATTGTTCACAGAAGATCCAAAGAGGGATACCTCAAATTCAGTATTTGGTCTGCCCTCATTTGATGTCCTGGCTGCCCTAAAGCCTGGTTCTGCTCCTTGTTGTGGAAGATTTTTGAAATCTTTCTTCCTTTGTTTTCTGTGAGGCAAGATTTATAGGGAAGGTAATATCCTTTATTAGACCATTTGGTTCTTTTGGAAAAAATGTACATTCTTGCGGGGTCAGAGTCCCTGCATTACACTTGTTTTTTGCCTGCTTGGTTTTTCCATTTCTGAAAGGCTTACTTAGAAGAAGCAGGCCTGCTCATTTCGTCCTTTTCAGTTACTACATTTTCTTCCAGTGTAATAGAGAGAACACATGTACTTGTGTTTTTTTTTGTGGAGACTTGGGTGCTTGTTTTTCCAAAATCCAAAATAAAAATAATAAAAACAATTTTAAGCCAAACAACTGTATTTTGGCCCTAGTAAATGGAAACCTCACTCCCTTCAGGTTTTTTGGAAAATGTCCTGGACTGATACGATCAATTTCTTCTTTCTTAAAGGAAAAATAAAAATTGTATGTACTCATGAGGCAGCAAAGACCCTATGGAGAATAAGAAGATATATGTATTGATTTTAAAATGAAAAATAGAAACATTCCAAATATTTGCTAAGCATTTCTTTAGCTGCTTACCCCCCAGGTAATGGAGAAACAATGTGTGTTCAGTAAGAGACTGAATATTGTGAATAATTTTAAGGTCCAGTGCAGCCCTGAATTCCAGACCCATGCAACTTCTCAGATGTCTAGCAGAGTTTATGTAAGTTTTGACTGAGTTAAATATCAATATTTTTTTATTTGACAGCATGATCTATACATAGTGGGCAAAGAGTTCTTGCACTTTTCTAGTAATCTCATTCTACGCTTTTCTCACTCTGTTTACTTCTCCCTGAAATGACCGTGACCTTCTGCCAGAATTTCTTGAAGGTTATGCTAATCTTTATTGGCAAGAGAAACAGTAGCTGGAGCAAAAAAGTGAAAGAGAATGCCACATGAGAATGAACAGCATGCAGAGCGTGAGAAGTTTCTGCAATAGCTGGAACTGGAGCAGCTTTGTCAGCATGTAGTCCCTGGAGCAGTAAGTGGGGATGTACTGACTTAAATATCCTAGAATGAAATCTTAATTAATTTTCTGGTACTCAATAAGGTATTTGGGATAAATCCTTTGCTAAACCAGGGGGTGCTCCTCAGGTATTTTGTATGAAATTTTGCCCTTTAATACAGCCCCTCGTTTGACCCCCAAACTTTTTTTTTTCCTTGTTTAAATCAAAATGAATATGTACATCTGTCTGAGTGAAAATAAATAAATAAAGACTTCCATTGCTGTGTCTCGCTTGCCTGAGAGTTTATGTATAGCCTTACACATATAAATGACAAAAGTGTTTATGAGCAGGGTCAAAATAACTTCCCATAAAACTTTCTGACCTGATCTCAAATAACCACAGCTTAAAACATGACCAGAATTAAGCTACCTCATGTTAAATTCATGCTGACCAATGTATTTAACAAGATGGGAGTAATCTCAGGGAGTAGTGGAGAGGGATTAATGCCTCTGTCTTTGAGGGGCTGGAATTACTGCTGCTTCCTATTCCCAGAATTGCAGTTTAAGCTACTTCAGGCTCTTCAGCATTACAACATCTGTAGCATGGTTCAGGGCCAAAATACAAACAGTTATGTCACATCTACTTTACAAGATGGAACGTGGTATAACCAAGTTGAGGGACAAGCATGCTGTAACGAGGCCCCACAATATGTTTGTTTTTGTAGAGCAGATGAACCCTAAATTAGTACCAGATGTCAGTAACAGACCTGCTGTATAGGGAACACAGCAGGGAACTAGTAATTATGGAGGAGCCACAGTGAGGCCATATTTAAGGTTGCATTCTGTTTTTCACTTGCAGTGAGATCTCAGTATTTTCCTATTACAGTAAAAAGTATACGACTGTCCTACTTCCAGTGTATACTCACATGTGTATCGACTGCAGCATGCTGAAGCGCCTTGCACTCTCAGTCCAAGGTACTTTTTCCTATAGAGTACTCAACAACATATATATTTTCTATTTCTATTTGTGCTCTGCACTGAGATCATGAAGAATGGTGTGAACTTCTTCCTCCTTGGTTTGCTTCTACTGCCTTTGGCTTCAGATGTAGCTCTGCTCTCATCACAGGCTGCAATGTTTTTGGCCTTGCAATCATTTTTCTGTCATTTTGCTTGTTAGTTTGTTCATTAGTTACTTAGCAATTTTCTTTGTTTGCCTGGCCTTTTTTTGTTGCCAAGACCTTCCCTCTTGGCAAAAAGGGAAATAAAGGAGATTTTCAGTTTGAGTTAAGCCATGTGTCTTCCAATGGCCTTTCAGTTCTCTGTCTTGCACATAGCTTTCTTTGTGACGAGATCTTCAGACTTGTGCCTTTCATCACATGTGTTGAGGATGTCTGCCCTTATTGTCAGAAAGAATTATCCACTTTGGAGATTCTGCTACTTTAAAGTTCTTCTCTACAGGAGATTTTGAGAGCAGTTTCTCGATCTTACATGGAAATCTGTAAGGACATCTTCAGGTACTAGTGGGATAATTCAAAATTCAATGACTTCATACTCAGAATGTCTCCTGTGTCTCATTAATATCTTACCAGCTTTACTGTGATGCAACAGAATGCATGCCTGGGAGCTCAAGAAATTCAATACAGTATTTTCTAAATTAGTATCCCTTCTTTCTTTGTTTTTAACTTCAAATTAGTGGTTCTGCAGATTGCATCTATAGCAAATTATTGCACAGGACAAAGATTTAGGATTTAACCATCTTTCTCTGGGCTTCTGTTCCTCATCAGGAACAGCAGAAAGCGTTTGGTATTGACCCACTGAAGTAAAAAGTGCACTCCAAAGTTGCACAAAGACCTAGTATCTTTGAAAGACCGGTCTCTATGTTGTTTTACCCACTTGAAATTATTCTTGGAATCATAGAATCATTAAGGTTGGAAAAGACCATTAAGATCACCTACTCCAACCATCAAACAGGAGCCTAGCAGACAATGTTTTCAATCTATCAGCCTCTGGGTTATGGGCCCAGAATGCTCCTAGTGTACCAGTCTGCTACACATACACATTTCAAGGCATCAGAAAAACTTCTTTTGCCAGAACGAGCAGTTACTTCTCTCTTCACTCTTCTAACCATAAAAAAGAGATTCCTAGGCCATTAAACTGAACTCCTACGCTACTAACCTTACTGAAGACAGCAGAAAGTCTTTACTGCAGTGAGATTTCCATCACTGCTATTTAGCTTCTGATCCTTCTGATCTTCTGACCCCTCCTTAAGCTCAATCCTTGAGTGGGGAACAAGACTCACGACATTCACACCCATATGTCTAAAGCTGACTCCTCAACTACTCAGAATTGCCTTTTGCATTTGAGATTCTCAGAAGAAAGACACTAATATTCAGTCCTCTGGGCTCAATATTCTCTCTTGTGTGTGCCAAAGATCTTACTAATCCTAGACTTCTCTACAAGAATGCAAGATCATTGGTTAATTGTATAATTGGTTGATTGTTGCAGGATATGGTCACAGCCTTGCAAGCTGTCACTCACCTTCCTCAGGTCCAATGAAACTGTAGTGCAAGGACTTAGAAAGGTAAGTTGCCACCCAATGAAATTCAGTGCTTTGCTTCTTCTGTCTTTATCCCCCTCTTTGTAGTCTCTCATGACACCCAGGAGATTATTTAAAGTGTTTCCAGGAACTCCTAAGGTAGTTCCAGTCTTTTGTGATCATAATGGAGGACTGTAAGTGTCTGTTTAAAACCAATTCAGTCCACTGTTTTACAATCCAAGGTAGTATAATTGTGAAGATTTCCATCTCTTTAATCAGTGAGGAAAACCTGAATAGTCCGAGAAGTTTCAGAAAATTGGTCAATAAACTAACTGATTCAAAATTAACTCAAAATTGTCCTTTAGTATGCCACATTCAGAATTGCATACTTTTCAAGGTCCATTTACCTTAGCATTTCAACATTGGAATGGAAATTTGATAGATTTACAACACTTTTTTTTTCTTGTTATTAAACAACAGTATTTTATTTTTGAGAAGCAATTTAATCTATGGTAATAGTAAGCTAATAGTAACAAAGTTTTGCTCAACTTCTGTCCTCTTGCACAATTTCAAGAGACAAGAAGGGGAATTTGTAAGCAAAACAAAATGAAATAAAACAAGAAATAATACCACCATAAAAGTGATATATTATTTTAGTTGTTCTTCCCTTTACTCCTGGGAATAAAAAGCAGATTTTGTCAGGTTGGGGAACAGAAAGCAATAGAATTACACAAGGCCCACAGTCTATGCAAAGATACTGGTTATCTAACACCACAACACTCATCAAAACTTTTGTTTAGGTAGTAGGTAGTTCACTTGCCCTACTTGTGGGGAGAAAGTATTGATGAATTTTGAAGAAGGTTGTGTTGAGCAAGCAAAGTTGATTGTACTACCAGGGAAATATGCTTCTGCCTTTGGAATAAAGCTATATGCTACTCATGGTTGTACTGTTTTATGTTTTTCTTTTCTCAGTTTTGAATTAAATGACTTAGAAAACTGATTATAACAAGATGGTATATACAAGACGGTATCATTGCACATTATACAGGAGCTATGAAAGCAGAATGGAAATGGGTTCACCTTCAACATAAGAGATGAAAATTTCAAGAATGCAAGATTTTTAATAAACGAGTAATCTCTCTCAAGACTACTCTGAAAAGAAGAAATCTCCATCACGATTTGAAGTATCCTGTTCTGGAACCACATTTTGATCACAGTCTTTTTAGCATAAAAAGTTCTTGTTTCCTCTTGCAGGTAATTAGGACTCCCTTGCCAGATGTTTTTCCTTCAGTTACTTTAAGCTTGTTCTATCTTGCCCTATAGCACCTTTATTCTTTGCCTCACATCTGTCCAAAAACATTTCTGCTGAAGTCGGATTCATTTCCTCTCACACATTAGCATTTCATTGATTTCCTGTCACTTGCCATGCTCAAATTCATCATTACCTACAACACCTTTATTATGTACCCCCACCTATATTTTCAGTTTCATTTCCTCTGGCTCCTCATCCCACATCCCTTATCTGAAATGACTTTGGTCCACAGGATCAATAGCCCACAAAAGACAGGAGTGCTTTCGACCAAAGCCCAGAGCTCTGTACTAAGTCATACTTGCTTTTGTGATTTTAGGCCAATGTAATCAAGCCTGGACAGCTTTCTTCTGAGGTGTTCCTTTCACTATGATATCTGCATTAGTTTATACTGGCATGTTTAAACTACGCTGGTGAAACTGATTTGAGACTCAATATAACTGTCAAAAAAAAAAATGTTTCTTCCACTGTAAATTTTTGATACTTAAAAAAAAAAACAATCCTGAATTTCTTCTGAAACAAAGCTCTTAGATCCTTTCTATAAATGAGAAAGACCTACACCAAAAACATAACAATGGAGTTATGATAAGAAACTTGATTCCTCGTAAATCAAGCAGTCAAAAGTCTTGATCATGGGTGTTTTCTTATTTCTCACACTTTGTCTGCTTACTAAGTCATTTATTGATCTGGTGTTTGGAAGAAGCTGCCTCTTCCTCTCTCACTCAGCTCTACTTCCTAACTTCCCAGCATGTCTTTTCTGTATTTGTCTTTTCTCTAACTGCACCTATAAGCATGGAATAGAAGAAGTGGGCCATAAGCAACATTAAGACAAGACTGGTATAAGGAAGAGCCCTTACTATTTGTAACTGCATGTTTTGCTCAGGGATCTCTTCCTCTGTAGCAGTCTGATTTCCTTATTCCCTATCTATGCCCGTCTTTATGGATTGGTACACCTGACCTTTCCTATGTCCTGATAGATAGTGTATTGTTTTCTGCCCAGCTTTGAGATGTCATTGTATCTAGTCAGTTTAGCATAGTAAATAATTTCCAAAATACTCGAACCTTCATATTCCTCTATTGCTTTTCTCACAGTGATTGTGTGGGGGATGGGGAGACTGGCTTCTCTGTTGTATCTTGGTTGTAACATACAACTACACCTACACATACACAGGCACTTCAACTCCTGGCACATCACTGCTCATTTCTGTGTACCTAGTCACATCACTTGAATGTCTGTATGTAGGCTTTATGTTTAAGAACTGCTCTTTCTTTTTCTCATCTTCAAGAACGTAGATATTTAGGAAGACTTTCCTTGTTTAGAGAACTGCCAAGAATATACTACACAGCATACGTGTGCGCATGTTTCTTTGATTACTGGGGTGTTTTAATCTGAGTTTAAGTATTCATTTTGAGACTGAAGGTGAAAACAAATGGCTGTCTTATTAAAGATACAAAAGGTCAAATTTACTCACAGTGTAAAGGTACTTTATCTACATTAGTTCTCCCCACTGAACTAGAAGTGAGTGTTTTTCCAGGACATTTATTCCACCCTAGTATCAGTAGAGATAAAGCAAGCTGAGGAACAAGGGGTGGGAGATAAAGTAGAGGCCAAGGGCAGGGAGCTTTTCGTGCAGCCTCTTAAACACACTGATTGTAGTTTAGGATTTTTCAAAGCTGCACATGTTGAGTAATATCTGCCAATAAACACAGCTCAGTGGGTGAGAAATCTGTCTGCCTCTTGCTGAGGATTAGAAGAGAAAAGACACCAAATGAGCAGTTTCTTCACATGTGGGTCGTGCCCCTCACTGGGGTACTTGCCCCTGACCTAATCCTGTTCTACTTTGTCTCTCTTACTCCCTCCTGTCTTCCTTCCCCCTTCTACTCCTCCACTGCTGCACTACTGGTGGTCTGCTGCATGCTGCACAGATGTTTTCCCTATGCTATTATAAGATTATTTTTCAAGTGGCTTCTTGGAACAGATGTTCCAGTGTGTGCACTCTTCTTCCTTTGGCTGAAAGCACTGTGCACAGAGAGCAGATTGCATTGCTGCTCTCCTTTTGATCTAAAGAGCGAGAGAGAAAAAAAAATCCCACACAAATGATGCTGGTTTTCGTTTCAGGCTGCTTGGCAATGGTGCACCTGGGTGTGTATCTCCTGCTTCTTTTCTCCCCCATCACTAGTGCTGCTTGCAGATGTTTTTTTCTGTGTCTTTCTTCTTCAGGCCATTTTTTCCCCTCAGTGACCCAATACTTTACTCCCACTGCTTTTATATTTTCTTTCATCTACCATTCTGCTATTCCTGCTTCCAAAATAGTTCTCTGACCCACTGCCAGTGCCTCATCTTCATCTTCTCCTTCCTTTGGCAACTCCTGGATTGTTAGGATGGATTAGTCCCATGTGTTTTGGTGTAAGGCCTGGTTTTGGCATACAGTTCTCCTCCATAGCCCCAGTGAATTCACCTGAGCATCACTCTTTCTACTTTTTATTTTATTTCTCCTATTGGGGAAGTAATATTCTCAAGAGTCAGAGGCACTGAAGTGTCAAGGGAGCATCATTTTCAAGTAGTTAATTTATAGATTGAAGAAAGGTATGACAGAAGGAGGTTGTGATATATATGTTGCATTGTAGGATACTGTAACTAGGCTTAACACACTGAAACACATCTTCTGGGATAAAAAATAAATAAACAAATAAACAAGTCTTTATTTGATTACATCTAGACTTTTAAATTTTATATCAGCTCCAAATCCACACATTAGTCTTCCTTAAAATAATTCAGCTTCCATGAATTCAGTTTTTGGGGAGGCAAATAAATATTGATTTTTTTTGTTGATTCAGTTGATTCAAAATGATGTACATCAGATGAAAAATTGGTTTACACATATATTCTTAAAAAAAAAAAAAAGAAAAGAAAAAAAGCTCCTTATTATTCCTGTTTTGATATAGCTAGCATGAGCCCAATACTTGTTTTTAAAATACTGTCTTATGGAACAGTCTTGTTAGATTGTGTGGGGAATCATAACCTTGCATAAGAACATACAGGATTCTCTAATAGCAAAATTATTCTCTATTGCATTCATTGACTGTCCTAGATTGCTCCAGAAATGCTAACAGTCTTTGTTGATTTACGGACTTAGAAATTTCTTTAGAACTGGGGTGAAGTACCAAAGCTTCCTGGGGAAGATTTAAACAGCACTTACAACCTTGCAAACCCTTTATTTTCTATCTTCTTTTGCATGATTGTTCTACTGCATTGTACTGCAGTGTGTATCATCTAAGTAAACAACTAAATAATAAATACATAAATCAGTAAATAAACAGATAGGGAGCTATACGACCAGTAAATCAAGCCACAGCTTTGGCAACATTTCCCATCAAACTACTCCTCCCTGTGAGCTGAGTGTGCAAGCACAGCTGTAGTTGCAGTGCACTGCTCTCCAACATCTGCAAATCTGAGATAGATCTGTAAACTCACCTACAACCCAAATAATCCACTACAGGTAAACAAGATTGTCTGCGGTCACATTTTGGACCAATCTATCACACATCCTTCATCTCTGAACTCAGAGAACTGGCCTTTCGATACTATTGAGGGCAGCTTAATTCTTGGAAGCCTTGCATACTGCATGGAGTTATTAGAAAGCTGTGCTGCCCTTCTCTGTACTGTTTGTGTCTAAATGGGTTGTGGAAGGAAGTGGATAAAGAGGGAAACCATCTGTTTCAATGCTGATTTTCAACAGGTTTATGAAAAAAATAATAATTGTACGACCTAAAGCATGTGATAGCAGGAAACTGGATTCTCAGGGTACAGGAATTTCAGTCCTGTTTCCTCACCTTTCAATGTGTTTGGTGCAGCAAGTGACATTGTAAACACAGTTACATCCAGCACAAACCCAAAGTTTGCAAAAAAACCCATCAATCTATTATTTCAGTTTAAAAAAATCTAGAAATTATGCTGAAAAACAGCCATAAGCATCCACCCAGGCCATTTCTTCTAACCCAGGGCTAGACAATTTTTTGGGACAACTGTTTTTTGCCTTCCTAAAATCCTCTGTTGACAGGGATGTCATGGGTTGCCCAACCCATTCCAGTGCTCAACTACTGCTGTTGTTTACACAGTGAACACATAAGTGTTGAATGACATTTGTGGTTGCCAAGCATCTACAGCACTCTTTCTTCAAATACTTATGAGGAAGTAGTAGAATTATCTAGCATATCTCTGTTAGGCTTTTTTGAGAATCTGATTTAGGCATAAATCTATTGTTTTAAACACTATATTGGAAGGTAGGGATTGCTTTGGCTTGTTTTTCTTTATTTAGATTAACTAATGGGAAAGTTGAGGGTATCAAGATTCTACTTGTGGTTGATCTTTGCAGGGGATACAGTCATGGAATTATGGAATCACGGAATCATAGAATCACAGAATGGCCTGGGTTGAAAAGGACCTAAAAGATCATCTAGTTTCAACCCCCCTTCTTGTGCAGGGTCACCAACTCTAGACCAGGCTGCCCAGAGCCACATCCAGCCTGGCCTTGAATGCCTCCAGGGATGGGGCATCCACAGCCTCCTTGCGCAACCTGTTCCAGTGCGTCATCACGCTCTGTGTGAAAAACTTCCTTCTAATATCTAACCTAAATCTCTCCTGTCTCAGTTTAAAACCATTTCCCCTTGTCCTATCACTATCCACCCTTGTAAACAGTTGTTTCCCTTCCTGTTTATACTTTCCCTTCAAATATTGGAACGCCACAATGAGGTCTCCCTAGAGCCTTCTCTTCTCCAAGCTAAACAAGCCCAGTTCCCTCAACCTTTCTTCATAGGGGAGATGCTCCAGACCTCTGATCATCTTAGTGGCCCTCCTCTGGACCTGTTCCAAAAGCTCTGCATCTTTCTTGTGCTGGGGGCCCCAGGCCTGGATGCAGTACTCCAGATGGGGCCCATGAACAGTAGGAATCAAAAACTGCTCTTATATATCAGTTTGATAATCATTTTCAGGATAAACTGTATTTCTCTACAGGTGGTTGTGACCACCACAACATTTCTTGTGAGAGGAAGTGCTAATAGAGTGAGCGCAAAAGAAATCAAAAGAAAGTGAGGCATCATCTGGAGTAGTATGTTCAATTCTGGGCCTCTCAAGTACAGGAGAGATATGCATATACTTAAAGGACCAGTGAAGGGCCACAAAGATGAGGCAGGGATGGGAGCATCTCCTCTCTGAAGAGAGGCTGAGCAAGCTGGAACTGTGCATCCTGGAGAAGAAGAAGTTCAAGGGGATCTCATCTCTGTGTACAAATAACTGCAGGGAAGAAGCAGAGAGGACGGAGCCAGGCTCTTTCATGGTACCCAGTACCAGCACAATAGACTACAGCACAAGATGGAGCATGAGAGGTTCCATCTGACTATGCAGGTGATGGAATACTGGCACAGGGTGCCAAAAGAATTTGTGAAGTATCCCTCCTTGGGAATCTTCAAAAGCCACCCTGCTGTGGGTGCTTGAACAGGCATTGGACCAGACACTACCAGCAGTACCTTCCAATCCTTAACCATTCTGCAATTTCATGGCTCTGCAAGGTAGCTTTCCAAAAGTACTCCATTAATGAATAGGAGTTCAGAATGCTGGTAGCTGGTGGTCACAAAAATGAAGAGTGGATCTTAAATGTAGTAAGAAAACACATCAAGAAAACATTTATGGAGTAAATCCTATGTTCTGCCATTCTATTATTTAACAATGTGGGAAGGCAACAATATGGAAAAAAGGTTAAGAAAATACTTTTAATCATAAAAAACTGCAGACAGTATCTTAAAGTAACTGTGTATTGGCTAACAGTTAGACTTCACAAGAGCAATTTGAAAGAAGCAAACTTTATATAATTTCACCTTGGAAAGGGAGAATGGGCAAATTCATCATGGTTAAAGAGAAGAGAAATGTTGATATAACTTGAAGTTCTGAGCTCCAGTCCTTTAAGTGCATCAAATAGTCTTCTATAGGACACTTTTATTTACTTTTGCTTATTGCATCGGGGCCTCTGTCTCACGGCCTATGTCACAGATACACTTAAAGATATATAGGTACCTTGGACCCTACTCCTACAGTTTACAGTCTGTGGATGAGGTGTGGGCCCAAGGACTTAACCTTGTCTTTCATGATGACAGGTTTCTGTTCTTGGATTGAGATCTCTGTCCTATGTCTTTCTAAGTTATCATGAGAACTTTTGCTCCAACCAGCAGTCCTACAAATATAGCATTCAGAATACAATGTTTCTGAAAGTACAAGAAAGGGCATTTGTTGCCACCATCTACACGTTTGTTCTTTCTGTTTTGTCTTTTTATTCTATAGGAAATTAGTGTCCTCTCTGTTTCCCATCTGCTTCTGCATATCACATCTTTGTGACATTTATCTCCAGTCATTGCTCCTGTTCCCATATTCTTGTACTCACTCCTGCATTGTTCTGGACATAATTTTGATCTTTTCCAAGTAATCTGATCTGTTGTCAGTGCTGATGCTAATCTTACTGGAACAGTGTCACCCCTGGAATTCTGAGGGTGGAATCTAAAGAATAATAGTGCTAAAAGGTATTATGGGGTGCATAGGAAATTGTTCTTTGGACAGGAATAAGGCAAATGCAATCTACAGGATGTTCCTGTGTCATTAGTATCTTACATGCTGTCCTACAGTACCAACAGTTATTAAGCCACTTGATGGGAAATACTTTTAATCATAAAGCTTACTCTCTAAACTTCTGTGTCCCTTCTTCCTGAACAAACATATGACAAATGATTAATATTAAGCCAAACATTGCTCATTTAAGAGATAATTAAAAAAAAGTTATTGCTTAACAACTCTGTTTGAAAGCAGTGTTTTAAAGGGGATCACGTAATAAAATGGGAGGAAACCCAAGTGGCAACATAGAGCAATGAGCTGAGACTGGTAACAACTGAAGTCAGTTAGCTAGGCAAGGCTGTCAGAATTTACAGAGAGATGAGAACAGGTCTGTTTGATTTGGAGTCAGGTTTTCAGCAATATTTCTTCATTGCACAATCGTTAGGATTTAACTCTTATTTAGAAAATAGACTTGAGCACTCAAGATTGCAATGTCCATCTGTTCACAGTCATCTCAGAAGATCTTTTCCTTCTGGCTTGGAATTCTTAAAAAGTAGTTTTTTGTCACTGCAGTGCAGTTGATTTCCAAGGAATTTTAAATGGCACTGTAGAAGTCTTCATTTTTATGGGACAGCCAAAAACTTCCTTGGCTCACCTGCCAGCTCTGTTCTGACTTGTGTGTCACACATCTGTCTGCTCACACCACAGCGTTAGACAACTACTGAGTTTATGGGAATATTTGTGACTGCTCTTAATTGAGATGAAGGCTATGACTCCAGCAGCCAACAGCAGGCAAATATCATCTGTGTAAAAGATATGAGCACTCTCTTTTATAAAAATGCATTATTGTTTCTGGCACACTCTAGATGCTGAGCTCAAGTGCTGGAGAATGAGATTGGGACATTGTGACTCAGCTGTTTGCTGTATAGCATTCATTAATATGTTTTGTATTTTTCTGCAAGGACAGTTATAAATAGTTTTGTAGAGGTCAGATGGGAACCACTAAGCACAATCCTTACTCAACACCACGGGGGAATAACTTTCTCACTACTCTAGATACTCTTATGTTTCCCTGACTGCTTTTACTACTGAGATGGTGCCCTCTGCATGTTGCTGGCAGTAAAGGGACTCATCACATACTGAGGTGAAAAGGAGGGCAAAGAACCGGAATGAATGCAAGGAGCTTGACTCTGCCCCATCTCCACATGCAAGCTAGATTAAAAGGCTATAGTTCTGATTCAGGGTTCCCTAAAGTCCATGCAAATATTTGTATTGATTTCAGTGGCTTTGGATCTGCTCCTGTGTACACAGATATAGCAAAGTATTTTTCCCAAAAGGGAGCAAAGTCTTATTTTCCTTTCATAGAGAGAAGGTGAATGCTGATTCTCAGCTCAGCTCCATCTAGGTGTTGCTGGGCATCTTGAGCTGTTGTTAGATTTCTAGCTGATCCCTAGCCAGTCCTCCTCATGTGTATCCTTCCCTTCTTGTCATTAAAGGTGAAGTAGAATGATGCACAGAGTTTTCCACCCTGTAGTTTTGAATGTGAAAAAGATAATCTAAGAACAGAAACTTTCATGGAATGTGCCAGTTTCAAATGAGGGAGAATTTAAGCCTTTATTACCCAAGGCAGCTATAAGTGAGTGTGACAATGCCTTCATTCTTTAAAAGCACATTTCACTTGTGCTACCATACAATTATACAATCTTTTTTTTTGTTTAGTTTTATTTTTGTAAGCCTTTGTACCTGAAAGTTTTGTTGTTTAATTCTTTTTTTTTTTTTTCTTGGAAAATATAGATAAAAAAACTTACAAGCAAATAAACCCTGAGGCTAGAATCCAGGTAAGTTCACTGTATCACAAGCCACTTAAGTTCATGTTCTCACATCTCTTTGTGTGCGTCCCCCCTTGACATGACGTTGAATGTAATTTATCTACAAGATTTAGTGTCTGTGGTATGTTGCAGGCATCAGCATTAGTGCAAAAATACGTAGTAAGGTCAAGCCACAGGGACCTGTATGATTTAAAAGAAGGGCTTTATCACCCATGTTTTGTCAGTTTGATTGGCTACTGTTGAGGTAATGGTCTGTGTTTAATCTATCTTCTTGACTTTTCAAAGTTTCAAAGTCTATCGCGAATGTTGATCAAGCCTCTAACTATAAAACTGCTTTGAAATTTCAACCACGACAACTTCAATATGTAGTAAGATTTTTAAACAAATAGAACTTTATAAGATTATATCATATTATTTTTCAGCTTGAAGGAAAAACTGAGAGGCACTGGTTTCTTCTTTTTACTTTTGAAACACAAAGGAGCTCAGTTCTTTCTTTGAAGTATTCCTGAAATATGTCACTAAAAATCAGTTTTGGTTCATCTGTAGAATAAGTCTCTAGATAAAATGCTTGTAAATAAAAATATAGTTTGGAGGTAAAACATACAGTAACAGATTTTACAACTTCTGAAATGTCTTAATATGTGATGGTATTTTGACTAAAATAAATGCACTCACTTTTGGTCAATAATACAAAATTTTCAAGTTCTTTCTAGAATACCAATCATACTTGGGACAAAGTCCTTCTAAGTCGTCACCTTCCTGAAAGAACACTCAGTAAGGGCTACTGGACGAAGTAGGCAAAGTTCTTTGCACCTCTTATAAACAAGAAAGAAATAGGAAGATTACAGCATGCCAGAATATCTCTCTTTACTCCCTTTTTCTGTTTAGTCTGAGAAAAAATATGCCTGTGTTTTTTTTGCTTCACTGTTTATCTGGTCTCTCTGAAAACATCTGGAGTTGATTTTCAGCAGCCATAGGAGGAAGAAAGAACCCAGAGGATTGCTTCCTATGCTCTTGTGATGGTGGAGAAGGATTGCAGGAGATAGTGAAGGTGGGCACATCTGTGGGCAAAGCAGAAGAAATTAGGGACATGGTGGCAACAGGGTTGCACAGAAATATCAAATATTGGGGTGAGAGAATTGTGGAGAGGCAAAGATTGCTAAATTTATGATTAGAGAAAAAAAAAGCACATGGAAAAACAGTATTATCACTTTGGAAGCAAGGACTGGTAGGTTAATTACAGAGACAGAAACGAGTGAATGTGAGAAATTAGATTTCTTGGGTTCAAGACCAAAATCTCAGTGAACCAAACAAGAAATATCAAGGGTGCCCAATGAAGTACTGAATGAATACTTAGAGAAAGCAAGCATGTAGAGTTGTGAGAGAAGCTCTTGAGCAGAGCAGAAGTTGAGAACATGTGATTTCTTCCAGTCTTCTGAAATAGCGATGGCAGGCATTGCTGTGAAATATTCTTGTTCTTAGACTCTCTATGGACACTTCTCTACATTCTCCAGATACTTGTGAACCTCCTTGAAGGTCATGTCTGACATTGGATGGAATGTCTGAGAGGTGTTACCGGTGAGAGCAGAACCTGCTGAGCAAAGGAGAGAATATGAAAATCTGGCTTAAAGATTAAAAGATTACTTAATTGTTTTTTGTTGGTTTTGTTTGTTTGTGCGTGTGTTTCATTTTATTTTAGCTTTAGTTTTCATGTTAGAGTGTATGCAAGAGTTAGAGCTACAGAGGTTTCTTCTTATTTTTTGCCATTCCAAGGCAGCTAGCTGAGGGCTCAGCAATCCTCATTTTTAAGATCCTTGCTATTTCCAGAGAATTCTGAGATGAGTGACAAAAATCCCTAAAACCAGCTGCTCCTGGCCCACGCCTTTCGGTTTCCTGCAAGGAGAAGCTGATTCAGACACAGATGAGATAGGGAATTGCTAGACAGCATGGCAGATAACAATGGTGTCTTAAATGTAGTGTGTAGTTGTTGACTTTACAAGTTAGAATGAAGAAAGAGTTAATCTTGGGTAATGTTTGTTATCTACATCAGTGTCATGAAACTATAGGGGAGAAGTAGGTAAGGCAGAATGAAGAGCTATAAGGACAGATTTTCCTGCTGTTAAGTAAAGGCCCACTTTTTTAATAGCCAGCCATGTCAATGATGCTAACATAACTTATCTGTGATCTGGTAGTATGCCCAAATTACAGCATTGTTGACCCCATTCCTTGGTATCAACTTTGCTTGGAGAGGAGATGAAGTGTCAAGATCTGCTTGTTGTCACAAACTACGAAAGAAGGATTCAAGACTGCTTTCATGTGGAGCTTGTCAAAGTAAGTTTCATGTGTTGCCCTCAAGGCTTACAGGTACACCTACCTTCCTCATAAAGCATGAGCATGAACCCTGATGTCTAATTTGCCTGGTCCATTGGAGAGAGTTGCTATATGATTAAAGTATCTTGACGTTTCTGAGTTAGATGAAATATTTTTAATATAAGACAGAGTCAGAGGTTATAGCAATGGTGAGGTGCAGATACATGACGAAAAAAAGGCATTGTTAATTGCATAGGAAAGACTTGACAGAATCTATTATACTACCTATCACTGAAAACTTGGTCTAAGCGTGCCTTCACTTAAGGTGTTGTAAAGACCTGCATCATGAATTCAGACAGGACACTTCAGACAATACCCTAATGCAAGCACTGTTTTGGGAACACTGTTTTAGCAGTTTGAATGCAACAAAAGGGTAAATCCCTGAGACTGATGCTTTTTAAAGGAGTGATTTTAGAGAGGGAACAATATACTATGGTGACAAAATACCTGCGCTGTTATCCAACTGTCTTAACTCACAATTCATTTGTGTAAGGGGCGAAAATAGAAGACATTACAAATAATGTAAAAATCTCTAATATATCTCAGAAAGATTGTAATAATTATGTAAAATAAAAGAGAAACACATTTGTCTGAGCATGAGGTTGGAAATTGGAAGAATGGTGACAGTAGTAACCTGTTGTGTCAAAGAACACACAGCTCATGGTGAGCTGCTAACAGACAATTACACAGTCTTCTGAAAAAAAAAAAAAATTAAGAGACATGGCTTTAAATTTGTTTCAGGAAAAACACTGTAGACTAAATGTCACAGGATTCTAATCTGTATGTGGTGTACAGAGCTAAGTCAGAACTGTACCATGCTCAGGTGTAATGTAGCCTTGCAGACAAATAGGAATGGCCACATTGTCGTTGCTTGTCCCTGTGAATAGGCAGGACAAAAATGAAATTACTGCACCATTCCACAAGTGAGTGGAAAAGAGAGAGTTTGGAATTTCGTTTACCTTTCACCTTTCTACATCCAGGGTTGACTGAATCCTTGCAAAATTACATTATCCTTCAGTAAGACTTTCAGCAACCTTCCACCTTCCTAGTGCTATTCAGGTGTGCACTGGTCCTTGCCTCTTTCTCATCTCAGCAAAAGACATTAGTGATGCCTAAAAGTAACTGTATCTTCAGAATAAGAAAACAGTATTTTTAATAAGAATTTTATTTTAAGAAGATGAACTATCCATTCCCATTCCATCAGCGCATGTATTTAAAAGTTATATCTACCAGGGGAGACTGTTGAAAGTTCCAGATACAGTGATGTTATTTTTGAGCATGGACATTTTCTTCCAGAAATGCAGAAATTAGGATAATCCTTATTTTTTTTTCTGTTGAAAGAACAGCCAGGTCTTCGGCAGATACTCCCAAATGTTGAAGTTTTCCAAAGGTAGGAAATGGGCTTTTGTAAAATGTATGCCTTAAATAAATAACCACAGAACCACAGAATGGCTTGATTTGGAAGCAATACTCAGAGGTCCACCTAGTTCAATTCTCCTGCAATGAACAGGGACATCTACATCTAGATCAGGGTGCTCAGAGCCCTAATCAGCCTGATCATGAAGGTCTCTGAGAACAGGGCTTCCACCTCCTCTCTGAGTAATCTTTTCCAGTGCTTCACCACCTATATTATAAAAACCTTTTCCTTATAGCCAGGCCAAATCTACCCTCTTTAGTTTAAAGCCATTTCCCCTTGTCCTGTCACAACAGACCCGGCTAAAGAGTCTGTCCCCTTCTTTCTTATAGCCCCTTTTGAATACTGAAATGCCTCTCTCAGAGATTCCTGGAGACTTCTCCAGGCTCTGAACAGTTCCATCTCTCTCAGCCTGTCCTGGTAAGGGAGGCATTCAATCCTCTGGTTCATTCTTGTAGCCCTCCCCTGGACATGCTCCAACAGGTTCATGTCTCTCCTGTAATGAGAACTCCACACCAGGACACAGTAATCCAGGCAGCGTCTCGCGAGGGCAGAGCTGAGATAGACCAAAATCTACTGTGAAAATATGACCTAGAAGGTAGAACTGAATGATCAGGACTTATCATCACAGCTTTTAAAAAGAGGCCTTTAAAAAAATTAAATTCAGAGTATATTTCATATTTCAAGAATGTCTGAAATAGAAGAGCACGGACTGATAAAGCAGGATAAACTCAGGTCTTTTGTAGGAAAATAATATTTAGAAATAACATTTCTCCCTTCTTTTAACATTCTGTGGATGAGTGAATTATTCCTGGCACTTGCTGGGAAACTAAGGCCGAGAAGTTCTTCTTTACTAAATATATGTATTTTTTCTGGGACAATACTTTGATATACTGTTATGGGAATTTTATTTTTGAATGTTTTGCCTATCATTTAAATTCCATATATTAAATTAAAAATTAATGCAGATACACTTGGGTGACATGGAATAAGTGAATTCATGTGGAAAATGCTGCCTCTGCATAGATAAAACTGCATTTAAAAATATAAATCATAGTATTTAAAATCAAGACTAAACAATTGGTAATTGCACCATTTTTTTTCATGTTGAAAACTTAATGTTTTAGACATTAATCAGATATGTAGGAAAATAAAGTATTTCTTTCATTCTTCAAAATCTGAATGACTCTTCTTAAATTAATAACTACATTTCAGTGCATAAGACTCTAGTTCTTTAAATGATTCAGAATGCAGCTTTGTTTATGAGCATGCAACTCATTTGTCTTAAATGAGTTGCATATTTGAGGTCAAATTTCTACAAAGAGGTACAAAAGTTATAAGCTAGTCACGTATATAGTACATTCAGTGTAACTGCTCACATATGGTCAGATATTTATGAGTCTAAGAATTTGCAGAAGGGGATCTGGATCTTGCTTTAGATTCTGGCCCAGTTTATTACTTTGTCCAGAAGTGAATGTGTGATTTAGATCTTAGGCCTGAATCTTGCAAACAGTTAACGCCTGCTTAAAATCCACATCTCTGAACTTTTTTTAAGGTGTGTTAAAATTAGAAAGATAAAATTCTCTGGCCAAGACTTTCTCATTGAAAAATTATTTTCTCTTGAATTTCTCATTGCTGATACCCATTGGCATCAGCAGAGCCAGGATTTACACTAGTATCCGTGATATATGAGTTTTCATAAGCCACGAGCATTGTGCGTATGCTCTCAAGTTTTCTTATATGTTGCTTCAGATCTTGTTTAATCTTTATTTTCTGACATATTTCTACTCTAAAACCAAGAGTCAAAAGGTCTGTAGGAAGTAACAGTTACCTCATTTACTGCTTGGATGATCATAATAATGGGTCAGTAATTAGAGGAAGAACACCGCATGCTTGTTGTGTAAAAGGGATGCATCTCTGAATAGCATTTTACTTGGCACATTCTTAAAAGACACTCAGGTTGATAATTGCCACAGCTGATTGCAATAAAGGCTAGCAGCCCCTAGGGATGCTGGGAACATAAAGCCATTGAGGAGTCCTCTAAGAGAATAGCCCTGTTTCGTGTTTTTCTAACCTTACAACTAATGAGTTAGGGGCTTCTCATTTCTTGATGCATACAGTTATGGAATAATTCGAAGAAGAAGAAGAAGAAGGAGCTTTGGAACCTAGGTGAGTTTGTTCTTTCACAATTCAATCCGATCTTGAAAGCCTCTAACTTCTCCAGTCGTACTGGCCAACTACCTTAGTACTGAACACTTCTTTGAGGGCACAGAAACTGCTGAGCAGGTTTTATATGTTGTTGTTTGGTTTTTTTTGGAGGGGGGGAAAGAAGGGGGGTTGCACAAGTTTCAGTGCAGGATTTCAGTGATACATATGACTTTTCAAAATCTTTGACTGGAGATAATGATTGGTGATGTGCTTATTTGGAACATAAATTATTGTGTTATAAAAATCTGTTTAATGTGTGCCAGGGAAATAAATCCTTAAATTGAATGAAAGCAAATATCCAATGGGGATCTATAAGAATGGCTGTTTAGGTAACGTACTATTATCTGTGTATTGTGATAAATGAATTTGATAGAACATAAGTGTGGTAATTGGGTAAGTGGAAAGACTTCACAAGAAAAAGGCCACCCAGGAATTCGGTCATTTCACTATTTCTGAGTAAACCTTTTCCCTGATTTATTGTAAGTATTCCACTGAGCTTATTGCTAAGGAACAATAGAGAATGCTGCTGTGATTACAGGAAGAGAGACGTGAGGCATTCCAATTTTTCTCAGTTTAACAAAGAGCCCAAGTTCACACAAGTTTATGTGGATCAGAGACTGACCTTCTGAAAGAAGGCAGTCGAAGGGCATATCCTTTCAACACAGATTTAACTGCAACAGAACTACACCCAGACTGAAAAATACAACTACTGGTTATTGGTTTTGTTTATGGGCAGCTTC